ATATATATATGGCAATAATATCAATTAGGTCTCTATTAATATACAACTTTTGGTAATTCAGTTTGATTTGGATTCACCCATTTATGAAGAATTTGCTAAGCAAACTAACAGTGTAACCAAAAGTTTTACACACTATTGAGTTCTATGTCAAAAGGGACTATGCAACAAAAAGTTTAAAATTATTTTCAGTGAAGTCCATGATCTATGGAATATTTTCATTCATAAAACACCATTTAAACATGACTTAGATTTTATAAAAGTAAGTTTCAAAAAAGTAAAAATACTCTTCCTCAATCATGTTTAGAAATTTACCTTTCACACTTGTAGCTTTGGGTGTCCTATGTGAGGTCCACACTGATGACTCTCCTAGCCCCACTCTGGTGGCAGCAGTAATCCGCACCAGGTAGACACTGTCTGGTTTCAGGCCCTCCAGAAGGTACTCGTGTGTGGTTCCCGGGAGCTCCAGAACTTGGATGGAAGTCTCAGTACTCAGGCGGAAGGACAGGCGATAGAGGACCACCTGGCCCCGCCGGTATTTGGCTGGGATCGGCAGCCAGGAGATGAGGATATCGGTGGGACTTCGACTCGTCAAACTAATTTCAGGAGGTCTCAAGGGAACTAGTCATACAAGAAAACAGGTTGCTTATGAATAGAATCAAAACTGTCAATTAGCACTGCAGTATTTACTGCATTCTCTTAAGAGCAACACACGTGATAAAGGAGGGATACGTTCAGCCCTAGCAGAGGTTTTCAGGCGAGTAGATCACAAACCAGAAAAAAAAAGAAGGAAAAATAATGAGGAAGGATCGAGCATAGAGAACCAAAGAAAGCAAAGTGTCACTAAAAGTAAAAGCCCAAGTCCTCACTGTGACTTCATACAAAGCCCTATGTACTTACAGGGTCGGCTCCTCATGGATTCTGGGCCCCAATCTCCTACTGCTTTCCACCTGTTCTCTCCACTGCAGCCCTCAGCAATGTCCATTTCCTCTGCCGAGCGTGCACCTCCCCCAGTCACCTGCTTCACCAGCTCCCGCACCTTCACTTCCTTCAAGTTTTCATTCAAATGTCACCTACTCAGTGAGCCTTTCTTGGGTGACCGTGTCTCAAGTCTCAAACCCTCCCAACATTTCATACTCCCTTTCCTTGCTTTTTTCCCCTTCTCCTAGATACTTACCAATATCCCACATAGCATATAATTACATAATGGACTGTTTATCTTGTTTATTGTTCCTCTGCCCCCTCTCCCACTAGAAAGTAAAAACGCCACGAAATCAGGGACAATTTTTTGTCTCTTTTGTTCACTACTATCAAATAACACACAGCAGGTACTCGATGAATATTTGTTGCATGAATGAACTAATAGTTGGACAAGAGAAAATCAATTTTTTAAGCATTTCTGAGTCCTTGATATGTATGAACTCATGAATTCTCACCAAAACCAAAGGAAGCACCACGATCATTATAGCTGAGGAAACTGAGGTACAAAGAGGTCAAACCGCTTGCCCAAGGTCACACAGGTCATTGTGAAGGAGCAGATGTAGGCCGACTGAACAAAGCCCACATTCTTATCCCCTCTACTTTACTGTGTCTTATATAACAACAGTTCTTCTATCACAGGGTTATGTAGGGATTAAATGAGATAACGGAGAGAAGGTTTTTAGAACAGGCAGGGGCAAGCCCTCCCCAAGTGTTAGTTGTATCTGCTGCACACGGCCATACCCCTAGGACACCCACACATCTCCGTTTGAGACGTATGGGCTTAGGAAATGTGGAGAAACTGGTGTAGAAACGTGAAAAGTAGGGTCAGAAGTCTGTGTTATTCAGAAAACAAAATGAAACTACATTAAGTAAAATGTTACAGAGTAAGAAAAGGTTTAAAGGAAAAAGAACTTTGAGATCATAACTTAACTGGAACTGGCAAGTTTTAACAAGTAGCTTGCTATGGTCAGACTCCTTTCCTTTAAGGATATAGGGAGGAATACACCAAAAAACCCCCACAAGCCCCCAAACAGCACACGCCCCCAGCCTGTGTTTCACCTTAGATATACATGTCAGAGGTTAAATGTGATGAGAATTCGAGAGGTCATAAATACTGTGATTCACT